CACAGTCAGATCCTCACACTTTGGAAGGTGGTGCATATCTTGGGGATGGAGAGGATTTTAACAAATGTCTGTTACAGTATAGCAGATGCTTCTCAAGTAGCAGAGTCAGCTGATGACTTTTTTTCAGATAATACATTTTGTTTCTATGAACTGTTGTATATTTAATTCCATTGGTGATATGTTTAAAGTGTCCTATGAATCAGATTATGCATATAATTAATTAAATATATAATAATTTATAGTTTTAAAGTACGGTTGATCATGAACAACACAAGGGTTCAGGTTGCTGACTTCTGTACAGTTTAAAATCTAAAGTATAACTTTTGACTCCCTGAAGACTACTAATAAATAGCCTACTGTTGACCAAGAAGCCTTACCATTAACATAAGCAATTAGCACATATTTTATATGTTGTATTATTATATGCTATATTCTTACAATAAAATAAGCTAGAGAAAAGAAAATGTTATTAAAAAATCATAAGTAGGAGAAAATATATTTACTATTCATTAAGTGGAAGTGGGTCATCATAAAGGTCCCCATCCTCATTGTGTTCATGTTGAACAGGCTGAGGAGGAATGTTAACGAACCCATGAGGGGGGTTCACTGTTGCTCACTGCACAGAAAGCCAATTACTGAGACAACGAGGATTGTCAAAGCAGAAAGGATTTATTGCAGGAGCCGCACCAACTGGGAGGTGGGAGGTATGGACTGCCTCAGATCTGCCTCCCCAACCAACAAGGTCAAGGGTTTTTCTGGAGGTGAAATGAGTAATGCATGAAGGGAGTGAGCATCATTACATGTTTGAGATGGAGTGCAGGGCATGCAAGCACAGTGAGAAATCATGCTAGCGCACATATCCCATGATGAAAAGATGGCAGATAAGTCCCTCCCAGGGTGGGGGTTTTAGTGGTATAATGAGCTAGGGGTTAATGTTGGTCCTTGTTTCAGCCCTGTGTGTGGGTGAGATGAGGAGGATAGGCTGCTCAGCAGGTCCCTGGGCATGATCTGTGGTGGGTGTTGCTTATCTCGTCTTCTCTGGACAAACAGGTGGTATAAGGTTTTGTATAATAGTTACCTTGTGGCTGCAAGGAGATTCTGCCGTTTCTGGGAAAGAAGCTTAAGAGGATTGCATCAGTACAACAAAAAGTTACAAAGTTCTGGTCAGTAAATGTTACTGGCCTAGGGACTTGAAACATAAGAGAACTATAAAAATAAAAAAACAGGATTAAATAAAGTTTCATTGCCTGTCTGTCTCAGGGATGGCCAAGACATGTAAGTGGACCCTGAGTAGTTCAAACCTGTGTTGTTCAAAGGTCAGCTGTCCTTTCAAGTGTGTGTCATTCAGTCATCACAGCAGTCCTATTAAATACTCATTAATGCTCTCCATTTAAAGATGATAAAATAGTTAACCCCCAGTGGGCACTTTTACTGTAAGCTTTCTGCAATGGTTTGAGAGTGTGTAAACTCAGCATAGAGTTCATTATCTCTACATGAAATTTAAATTCTCACAAGAATTTGTCCCAGGCAGTAGCATTGTCCTCATTTAAAGATGAGAAAACTAAAGGCCAAAGGTTGTTAGCATAGGGAGAAGTCGGGGAGGTGGTTAATCATAATTCACACACTGGGTCAGGCTACCTGGGTTTTTAATCTAGGCTCTACCACTTAAATCTCTATGACCCTGGGAAAGTTTCTTAACCTCCCTAAGTCTCGGTTTCCTAATATATTGAAAGAATAACAATGCCAGTCTCAGAACTATTGTGAAAATTAAATAAGATACAATACATGGAAAGTGCTGGGAATACAGTGTGTGCTCAGTATCACATATTACTAAGCAATGCATGTACGGTCACTCAGATGGTAGAAAGCAACTCCTATAACAGTATCTCATGTCACCTTCTTACTCCTCCATTGTTTTCTTTCTAACCAAGGCAAGCAGTGTATACAGGAAAATAAGTTGTATTAATTAACATAGCTTCTAGTAATTTTCATAAGGGAGAGGTAGTAGGTATGAGATCAACAAAGAGGAAAAACTTCATGGAAGGGTAAAAATTACATAGTCTGGGTCAAGAAGCCATGACATGAAATGAGTTTTATAAAAAGGTACAATAGTGTTTTTTAGATGACACTGAAAAAGGAGTGCACCCTTCCTGGAGTCATCTTTGTACAATATTTACTTAAATCCTTTACCAATGATTAACCTTAAACAACAGAAATATTTGTTTGCTTGTTTGGGGAGAGCCCTCCAGTGATCATTCTTCAAAATGCATTTGTTACTTTTCCTACTTATGCAGTAGTTATACATATTAAATATTGTCCTTCCAACATTTAGAATTATAATCATTGTTTAGAAAGAATTTGTTCTTTTAATTTTTTTTTCTTTCCTTCAAGTTCTTGTAGTACTTTATGTCCTATTCTAGTACTTAATATTTTTTTACCTTCTTTTCCAGTTCTTTATTTCCATAGCTAATATGCCCTACTTAAAGACAGGGTCTGTCTAATTTCTAATTACATTGTCTAATACCTCCAATATAAGCCCAAGAACAAATCATAAATCACTCTGAGCTGGTTTCTTTTATTTCTTAATCAACTTATCAGTGGTCAAGTAGTTACCTCTTAAAGTTTGTCTGCGTTTTTCTCCTACCAGTGACTTTTGGAACTAATATCAACTTCATTAATCAAATGTTAATTTTAAGAGATTCCTAATGATAATTTAGACATTTTAAACTTGACACTGTTATTATCTGTTGTTAGGCTTATTTTGCTTATTTCATAATGTAAGTGTTTTGGTTTTGTTGTTTTCTTTTTAAAAGCAAGTCTTACTGATATTTGATAGAACTCTTAACACATTAAACCCTAACTGCCATGTGAGTTGTGTTTTAACTTTCGCTAGTTTTAAGCCCAGGACCTCATGAAACATATGTAACTCACACGTCTTTTTACCTTGGGAGCTGCAAGAACTATTTTTCAAGTTGCATATAATTCATGCACAGAAAACAATAAAAAAATAACAAATTTTGCATTAAACTAGAAACGATGATTTTGTTTCTGAAGTTTTTATTCTATTTTTGTAATAAAACGTTGTGGCACCAAAGAAAATTAATTTTTTTTTCCTAGTGTGGTAGTCAGTGTATTAAATTGTGCTTCAATTTTGAAAAAGTAACAGTGCAGTTAACTCTGACATTGTGCAGTTTTAGCTCATTGGAGCAAATTTAGCTATTAGAAAGCAAGCAACAGCATCAACCTACAGAATAGAAAGGGAGAAAAAGCCATTCTCTCTTCTACCATTCTTTCTCTACGGATTAAGCTTTTCCTTTGGTCTTGATTAACTGGTTAGATCAGTTTACCTCAAACTAGTTTTTGGCCTAAGGAAATCTCTGGCCTTTTGAAATTGTTATATTCAGAGGCCGCACTTTTGGCCTGTTCTTTCAAAGAGGTATGTTTCAACTTCTGCAAAGGCAAGAACTTGGATGAGATTCTGGTATAACACATGTATTGATGACTTACCAGAGAATACACTGCAAGCATGAAACCCTGCAAATATGTTTTATATGTGATGGTTTGCTCAAACTGAGAGAAAGTCTGGTTATTAGCAAATCTCCCTTTTTTCACTGAGCCAGGTTATTTTGGCACATAAAAATATAGTAAAATAAGTATTAACAGGACTACCATAGTCAGTTTTATTTAATAGTTTCTCTCACTTAAATGTCATTGGTTAAAGAAATGGAAATCAGAAAAATGGAAAGATAAAAATGGAAAGTATCTAAAAGATAATACTTTATAATAAGGCAATCCATAAGCTCTGGGAAATATTTCTAATAATTAAAGCTACCATTTATTAAAGTACTGTTGATCTACTCTGTGTCAGGAACTTTACATATGTTCTCATTACTCTTCACAACAACCCTGTAGGATGGGCTTTATTTTTTATTTTTGTAAAGTATTTTATTTGTTATTTTTGTAAATACCAGCTCACATATTAGGAGACTGGCTCTTTTTAGTAAAATGGCAGAGCTAAAATTTGAACCCAGTTCTGTCAGATAGCAATATCCACATGCTTTTAAATGACATAATATTTGCAAATGCTTGGCAAAATGCTCAAATAACTAAATGATAGCTATTATTGTATCTATTCAGCTACACTGCCTTCCACACTATAAACACACACACACAGTAAGAAAAAAACAGAGAAGAGATAGCATGACAACATGCTATCCCCAATAGTAAACATCCCACCGTGCCATCAGACCTTCCAGTCTACAAGCAGTTAGAAGCTATAATGAAGGAGAAGCCACTTTACAAGATGGTAGTACCTAGGAATAAATGTAAAAATAACTGTACAATTCTTTTTTGTGGACGTAGGATAAAAAAATAGACTTGAATGAATACAAAAACATATGTTCTTGTATAGAATGAGTCAGCATCATAAAAATGTGAATTCTCCGTTGGCTGATTTATAAATTTATCATGAATGTAATAACAGTATTAACAGTTTTTACCCAAAAGCTAGATAAGATCCTAAACTTACTGGAAATACATTGCTCAATAAGATATACAGTTTATTCTTTCTCCTCATCACCACTAGTTCCCTATATATAAATGAATATATAGAAATGTTAAAAACCACTTTTTTAGGTTACATTGTGAGGAATCTTAGTCTCATAAGTAGATTGGAATGGAGGGGGAGTGTTTATAGCAACATCATGCAAGTCTTTGAAACTTACAAGTTATGTGGCAAAAATCATAGTGAACTCATCAAAAATTATTTTTAACAAATTGTCAGCTGGCAACTTGATTAGTGCCTTCAATTTTGTTATTGGCATAGAATAGGAAATTACCCATTGGCAAAAGGATTATTTACCTAGTCATCATAGTAGTAGCGGATGCCAGTATTTCAAATTGTCTCTTTGTTTAATGTTGAGAAGTTTTCTACGACAGTCCTTTAATATTGCTTATTTTAAAATCTACCTACATCATTGTTTTTTCCCTTTTTTCCATAGTTGCATTAAAATCCTCCCCTGCTGACAGAAATGGAGGCCAGGATAACAGTAGAACAAATTTCAGAGAAGGCCTGAATTTGCAAGAAGGAGAGTTATTATTACAGGTAAATTTTAGTAAATATAGTTCATTACAATAAAGGCAATTATAAATGGAAAATTAATTAGTCTTTTAATTATTCCTATTTTATTTATGATTCACTGCGTGTTTCTTGCCACTTTCATCTGAACTGCAGTAGAGGAATAGTGCCTAGTACATGAAAAAATGGAATTACAGTCACGTACTGCATAATGACATTTCAGTCAATAGCAGACTGCTTTTAGGACAGTGGTTCCACAGGCTTATAATACCATATTTTTATTGTACCTTTACTATGTTCAAATATGTTTACATATACAAATAATTACCATGTGTTACAGTTGCCTGCAATATTCAGTACAGTGACATGCTGTATAGGTTTGTAACCTAGTAGCAATAGGCTATACCATGTACCATAGCTATATAGTAGGCTATATTATCTAGATTTGTTTGTGTAAGTATGCTCTATGATGTTTGCACAATGAAATCACGTTATGATACATTTCTCAGAATGTATTCCTGTCATTAAACAGTGCATGACTATACATGAAGTAGATTAAGTAGAGAGGTCTAATCATTACCCTCCCTTTTGTATTTCTTCAAACAGCAAGAACTCCTAAATTGTTAAAGGCTCCCACTTAAGATACTGGATTTATATATACTCTTTCAGAAATGTATCTCTATTAAAATAGTTAACTGCATTTACTTAATAGTTTAAAATTGTTCTTAACTTGAATTTTATTACTTTTTTCAATATGTTATCTCATAACTTACATTTTATTTTAGTAGCTGTTTGTGACTTATTAACATGCTACAGATTTTCTCAACAACTGTAACCCTATTATGCTTTAGAACTTGGGGAGTTTCTAATAGTTTTGTCTGTGAAAGCATTTTAAATATTTTTTTTAACTCTATTACCCTTTTAAAAATTTTTTTTAGAGTTGATGCTATGTTTGATTCTCACTTAAAATTCTTAGATACTTATTTTGGTAAAAGAAAAAAAGAATGAAGGGCATATTTGCTATAATGTATGTTGTCGCCATTTGATCAATTTCAGTTCTGTCCACTGAACTTACTGAAAGAATGTAGTTCATAGTTACTCATTGTGACAAAAAAAGTAGCCATAAATTTTGAAAGCTCCATTAATTCATTCAGAAAATGCTGGAGGATAGCCTAATAATTTATGACATTTTTATTACAATTCTGTAATCACGTTCAAATTCCTGTTGGCAAAAATTAACTGTGTTTCCATTATGTGAAACAAATTGAGTATATTCAACTATGAGTCCTCTCCCCATCCCCAGCTGGGGATCCTTATTTATGTATTAGACAAAATATAAAGACTCCTTAGTCAAGTCATAGAAAAACATTCTAATATTAATAATTGCTATATAAAGTGATTAAATATACCTACCTGTTGGGTTATGTATTATAATAAGATGATAATGAAAACCTGTATTTCAAGTAAAAATAAACAAATATGCCCTAATTGACATTATACTTGGCAAATTGGTTTAAATTATGGGCCAGTGATTTTTATTTTTTTCTTAAAGTATTTAGACCAACTATATATATGTCCTATGTCAAGGACATAGGGAAACACTAAAGCAAAGCTATAGTGATATATGTGTGTGTGTGTGTGTGTATGTATATATTTACATATATATTAAATTACCTGGAAAGTGGAATCCTTTAGGTAGTTAAAATAAACCCACCTATTATAATTATATTGGATAGCATTTGTATACCACTCTTGAATAGGAAGCATCACATAACATATGGTTTTTTTAGCATTGTACTTATGTGTTACCTGTTTACGAAGAAGATGACAAAACGTTACAGACGTGAAAATGGCACATTTTGTTATATACAATTGTCATAATGGCATCTGACTTTATATTTTCAACCTGCAGTTGCCAGCTAATTACCACTAAAATGTAGAGGATGTTACCAAAGTTTCTATATACCATATGGCCTGAAGCTTCTGAGAAGTAACCTTTCCTTAGCTTAACAAAGGCACATAAAGAAAATGCTACATAGTATTTTATTAACAAAAATTTAAAAGATTTTACTTTCTAGGTTAGGTTAAATGTATCACTATTTATAAGGAATTAAAATGTAACAATGCAAGTAACTTTTTTGTGTCTTTTCATTATCTATTATTTACTTCATGTTTACTTCATAAATTTAAAATAAATTCTATCTGTTGCTATATAATGTGCCTATTGTAGTGTTCCAGCTTCATTTTCTAGTAACTATGCAATTGAAATTATATATAACAGTATCAATTGTAGTTTACTTCTCTTATATTTAATAATCTAACTCATATGATTTTCAGATAGGTTTTGTGCATATCTTTTTAAGAATAAGATGGTACTCTCTGATTAATATGTAATTAGCATATTAATTCTCTCTGCTCATTTACTAAGATAATAATTCAATATGGGTAATAATCTTGTTTCTCTGGTATTTAAGATCATTTGAGATATATAAAAAATTGGTGTGTATTCTTTTTAGATTTTTATTTTATTTCTGATAATTAACACAAGGGATTTGATATTGTACCTTAAATTATCCTGTCTTCTGGCATGCACCAGTAAGTTTATTGATGTGATAATGGATAGTCTTCTCTAGAAAGAAGATGTTTTCAGGATGAAACAATATAGTGATGAATAAATACTGTTACTGCCAACAGAATTTAATATTATTCAGTTTTGAATGTGTTAATTGTTAAATATTCAAGTTCCCAGTGGGTAGAATCACCATTCTTCATCTTGGGGGGAAAAAAATCTCTGTAATCAAGAGCCTGAGAACCCAGTTGTGGTTGAAGAGTTAGAACCATGCACCAATGTGTGATCAGTAACACATAAAGACAGCATATCATGATATTTATCTGGCTCTGAAGCCAGACTGAGTTTACCCCTTTGGCTCAGCTTTCTTCAGCTATGTGACCTTGGGCAAGTTACTTTTAAAGGTACAATCCTTTCTTTTACCTTGGTTTCTTCAACTGTAAAGAAGAAATAGCACCTACCTCTCTAGGTTGTTGGGAGAATTAAACCACGTGAATACATAAAAGCATTTAGAAAAAGGACTGCTAAATAATAGATGTGGTTATCTTTGTAATCAAGTTCTCAGAAGTGTAATATGGATTAGGAATCTCGGAGGTGAAAGTAAATGGAGTGAAAAGAGATAGTCACTATATTCCATTTGCCTTATCTGATAATGAGGGTATCCACTAGACCAGGGGTCCCCAACCTATGGTGAGTTGTATAATTATTTCATTATATATTATAATGTAATAATAATGGAAATAAGTGCACAATAAATGTAATCCACTTGAATCATCCCAAAACTACCCTTCTCCCCAATCCATGGAAAAATTGTCTTCCATAAAAATGGTCCATGGTGCCAAAGAGGTTGGGGACCTCTTCACTGGACTGTGAGCATCATAAGCACAGGGGCAGTCTTCTTAACTCCTGAAAATCACTACTTAGCATATATCCTCTTTAGTATGTAATAGTTTATTGTGTTGAATAAATTAATTCCTGTTATTTATGTAGCTCTTTTTAGTTCTCAGAGCATTATCATGTAAATATTTATTTGTTCATTTCTACAACCTTATAGTGTTTACTGCATAGCATTATAGCACCTTACATTAGTTGAGTGCCAGCTCTGACCCAGGTGCTGAGTTAAATGAGATATACTCATCACATACGCCCTCTATGGTGCCAGTTTTTAAAATGATAACACTAAAGCTTGAAGGGGTAAAAAACTTTAAGCCACACAGCTGGTAAGAGACAGAGATAGGAGGAGTCTAGTCCAAATATGTCTGACTCCATACTGTATGGTTCTTATGCTAAACCATACCATGTCCCCTTTATGTGAAAAAGATGTCAGAAGAGTTTGGCCATGATCACATTGCTAAGAACAGATCAAGTACCAAATTAAACTCAAGTAGAAAATAGTGAGGGCTTATAGAATTAAAATATATGATAACAGTAAACTTAACCCTTTGCACTCGGATGTCGAATGTGATAATGTCGAGTGGATGATGAGAAAAAAGCAAGCGAGTGCAAAGGGTTAAAGTGATCTAAGATACTTGTGTTATCCAAGAGGAGAAGAAAGATACTGATTAAACTTGGACTTGACTAACCACTAAAAGAATAGAAAAAGAGGGTATAACTTTCAAACTAAGTGAAGGAAAGAATATGGGATAATAAAAAGTAACTGGCCAAAAACAAGCAAGAGATAGAGAGAAAAAAACAATAATACAGATGTGCTATGAACAAATAGAAATAACACATATAAAATGAGAGATTTGAACATAAATATATCAGTAATTACATTAAATTTTAATGGACTGAATTTGTTTATTTTACATTTGTATATTTTAATTATATGTATATTATATGTGTATTATAGTTTACTATAAAAAGTCTTACAATGTTTTATAATACTTTGAAAGGATCCAAATTTCAAACTGCTTTAGTGCTTGAAATGTCTGTGTACAAAAAAATTTTCTGCTATTTAGATGATAGTGAATGATACTTATATATATTAAAAAATAAGAACAATGTATTTAAAAGAGAAAATCTGAAGCATGGAGGGAGGAAATCAGTATTCTACTAGTTATTCTGGTTGAGCATTAAGTTTAGCTGTAAATTTTTCTTTAGACAAATCAAAGTGTATTAATAGGTTCTTCTTACTCCAGGAGTGTGTATTATTTCTATTTTGTGAAGTGTAATGATTTTAACTATTTTGAAAAGAAGATTTTTCAGAAATAAAAATAATAACATTTATCTGACAGCCAATATTTATGAGTAATAATAGTAAGTCATATTACTAATTATATATAACTGTTTTTTCCTTGTAGGCTCTGAATGGCTTTGTATTAGTTGTCACTACGGATGCTTTGGTCTTTTATGCTTCTTCTACAATACAAGATTACCTAGGATTTCAGCAGGTAAGTAGATTTTTAAAAATCATTTAAAATAATATTTTTTCTTTTTTTAGAAAGTGAACTTTCTACCATTTATATATTTTTTAAATGTTAGGAGTACAATAGGCCATTTGTATGTATAAACTATTAATTAAAATATATATGCTATAGAATAAAAAAATTATATATTAAATATTTACGGCTAGTGTTTTTCCTAGTAATGATTTACTGCACTATAATTTCTTTAAATGTTTATGTCATTCAAGGTTACTGTGTTTCTTCTTTTCACTGATCAAGAATCTCATATTTAAGAAACTTTCAGGCAGATAGAGTTTAGGGGAGAAGATAAGAAAATATTTGTGTGGCTCACGCCTGTAATTCTAACATCCTGGGAGGCCCAGGCTGGAAGATCGCTTTAGCTCAGGAGTTCGAGACCAGTGTGTGAGTAAGAATGAGACCCCATCTCTACTAAAAATAGACAGTATTGTCTGGATGTGGTGGCACGCGCTTATAGTCCCAGATACTCAGGAGGCTGAGGTGGGAGGATCACTGGAGCCCAGGAGTTTGAGGTTGCAGTGAGCTATGATGGTGCCACTGCATTCTAGCCAGGGCAACTGAAGGAGACACTGTCTCAAAAGAAAGAAAGAAAGAAAAATAATCTTTGCCATCAAATGACTTAAAGATAGCACAGGTCATGTGACAGCTAAGAAATTAATGAGGTGATATGGAAAAGTACAAGTAAAATACTATGGTTTGTACTTTTAATTCTCATTTATATGGATTATAGAAGATATGCTAAAAGAAATGGTATTTAAGCTGACCTAAAGAATATGTAGGATTCAGATGGACAGACAAGGGAACATAGAAGTACCGTAAGCAATAGACCAGAAGTTGTAGAAAGCAAACGCATCTGGTTTGTCTAATGTTATTGAATGAATGATGAATAAATGGAATTATAAAGTATTTGGCAAATTTGAAGAACAAAAAGAGCTGATGTGATTTGAGAACAGATTGTAAGTATACTTAAATGCTTGCTATATCTTATATGTCTGGTTCTTAAATTTTTAAGAATAAGAATCAAAATGTAAGAATGCATAAGATCACCTGAAGGACTTGATAAAACTTGATAAAATATCTGGGCCCCATTTCCAGGTATTTTAAATCAGTAGGTCATACTGGGGCCCACGAATTTGCATTTCTAACAAGCTCACGAGGCTACTGAGCTGAATAACACTGTCCATATAACACTTACATAGACTGTAGTTTCGACTATATCATATAATCAGTGAAACCCACTAAAAGTTTTTGTTAAAAAGAAATGTGTATGCTTCAACTTGTGTTTCAGATGAGAATTCTGGCAATTGTGTAATAGGTGACATAGAGATGATTTAATATTAGAAGATTAAGTTCCCAGGGAGATTTAAGTGTAGAAGACTGAAGTAATGGAATCTGGCTACTGCCACAAAGCCTACATTTCAGTTTTCTTGCATTTTGAAGAAAATATATTAATATCCATAGAAAAGTCTGTTTGAAACTTAACGAATCTTAATCATGATTTGCTATTGTGATTTAGATCAGTTAAAATCAAGGAGATTAGCCGTTTTTAATCTATTTTTTGTCATGTATACACATGGATACTCTTTAAGAAAACATTCATATCTGACATAAGTGGTGGATTAAGGCATTATTTTTAAAATGCAAGTTGGTGACCCTTTAGTTGGTATGCTGTTAATATAGTATATCATCACCAAACTTTCTTGTAGTTACTTAGGATGGAATAAAATGAGACAATAGAGAATGAATACACAGCATCACCACTCATAATGGTTTTTTGTCAAACTTTTTTTTCTGTGTATATGTGTCTGTGTGTACACACTTGTGATAGTTGGAACATGTGTTTTTTACCATGAACATGTTTTTCATAGGGAAAAAAAAGTTAGAAAAACTCTGGTTTAAACTCTAAGGGCTCAGCACTGTAGTAAATGCTGAGAAGCAAGAGATGAGAAGGGATTCTGATGTGGTAAAGGCATAATCTGTTACGCTTATGGAGTCCACGTAGAGTGAAAATTTAATACAGAAAGAACATTTGGAGAACAATGAAGGAAATACATAATGAATACTAGTCAGCTGAGAGAAGTCACAGAGGCCTGGGTATTTAGGGGAGGGATTCATGGAAGCAGTAGGATTTAAGAGATAAGAGGATAAGGAATATAAACAGATCGTAATGTGTTGCATTTAAGAAATGGGGAGGTGACTTATTTGTGTGAGCAAGAGCATTCATGTTGGGAAGTGATGAGTTAACTTGTGGCTTATCAGTTAAAGTGCTAATCTCTCTAGCTTTTCCTGTCTTGGATGACTGGGGAGCTTTGGCAATCATTCCCTTTAGAGTCATCACCACTAACTAGCACCCACTAATCTAGAGAGGTTTTGAAATTACTTTAGTAAGCCATATTCTTTTTAATCAGTACTTTTATTTCTTTGTATCTTTTTTCTTTAGTCTGATGTCATACATCAGAGCGTGTATGAACTTATCCATACCGAAGACCGGGCTGAATTTCAGCGTCAGCTGCACTGGACATTAAATCCTTCACAGTGCCCAGACTCTGGACAAAGAATTGATGGTAAGAATTGATGGTACGAAAGATGGTGTTGGTGGTCTTTGAATATGATTCTGTAAAAGGAGGCTGGGAACCTGTAGGAGCATAGCACTCCATGGCAAAGGTAGGGAAGAAGGGGAAAGATAGGAGTCTGTAACCATAAGGTCACTAAGAGCCTGTGGAGCTAAGGAATATTTTGGCAGGTGAGAGCTACTAATGAGTTTCAAGCAACAGAATATTGCCATATTCAGTAATATATTTTATAAAAATAACTCTAATACTATCATGGAAGATGGAAGGAATGTGCAGGGTTGATACTGAACTGCATGTATATTGATATGTTTAAAATACGCCAAAGAAAAAAGTAAACTAGCATTTGCGAGTATAAAAAAAGCTTTTCTCAAATGCAAAAAAAAAAAGTTTTCAGAAATCCGTGAAAGTGTTAAGAATACAAAAGTGCATTAGAAAATGTGGAAATTGTTGACAGTTACAGCTCAATAAAAATAGGAACAAAAACTAAGAAAGTTCTATGTGATAAAAGTGATATTCGGTAAGTTTGTATTTTCTTTTTATTAGCTCTTCTTCTGAAAATGCTTTTTTGTATTCAGAATACAGATTCCAGTTTGGAAACTTACACAAATTTTACCTATTCACATACTTAATTTTACAGCAAAATGGAAAGTCAAATATGTATTGCTTTTTTTCTACAGAAGCTCATGGTCTCTCACAGCCAGGAATCTGTTACAACCCAGACTCGCTTCTTCCAGAAAATTCTTCTTTTAGGGAGAGGAGCTTCATATGCCGACTGAGGTGTCTGCTGGACAATTCATCTGGTTTTCTGGTAAGGTGCAGTATCTTATAATGTTGAGTTTTACCATTGCTAAAGAAAAATGTAAGGCAAATTTAATTTAGCAGAATTTAATTGTGCAAAGAACTATTCCCAAGTCAGGCAGCCCTCAGAACCAAAAGAGGTTCAGAGAACTCACTTTGCAGAGCGGCTGGCAAAGCCTGCATTTATGCATTCCGTGTTTATGGACAGAAGATAGAAGCAAGGTACAGAAATACCTTGATTGATTATAGCTTGCGGTTTGCCTTATTGGAACATGGTCTGATCGGTTGGCCATCTGTGATTAGCTGAGACTCAGCTGTTTATTACAAAAGTAACTCCTAAGTTAAGCTTCCAGTTAGTTTACATAGTAACTTATGTTGCTGTTCCTTGGTAAGCATTCAAAAGTTCAGAGGTATCCTCAAGCCAAATTTAGTTTACTTTAACACTACTAAGTTATATTAAAAAAAAGGGAAAAGTTAAATGAGGCCAATCTTCTTTGTTATCTGAATTTGATTTAAAAAATTGACTACCAAATAATTTGGTAAAGGAAAGCAACTTTATAAAATCATTATTTCAGATTTTGAATTTCTGTGACTCTGAAAACCCTATTCTTTGGGATATAATGAGTGAAATAACATGAAACCTTGTATTTTGACTATTTTTAGAACTTTTGAGGTATAGGATAATTATCTAGCCCTTGTTTAATAGAAGGATGCTTACCATCTTGGGTTTTAATGCCTGCTAGACAGGAAAACTGTGGACAATTTCTACATGTCTGGAATAACTGCCACATAGAAAAATGATTGCATATTCATGATTGCAGAATCATCATCTGATCTGACGTGAGACGCTGTCTCCTGTTGCATAGTCTGAACCCCTACATGAGATAAGCACAGAGAGCAGTGTAGGCAGGACACTCAGAGTGGAGGTGGTCTGTTATCTCAATTATCCTTAGACAGCTCATGCTACCACGTACAGAAGAAGAGAATACGAAGTGTGTTGCTTATTCTTTTTGTGAATTGGCAGGAATTTGAAACAGATTATCAAATCTTAAGTATTACCAAGTAGTGCTTTTTGTTAGTGGTTATTTTATTTTATTTCAAGAAAATATGAAAAAATGAACATTTTGGTTACATTTTATATCCTTTGCCTCTGAAGAGAATATTGTTGACCCAGGGTTAGAATTGTGCTTTGAGATAGTTTTCCTCATACTGGTGCTCAAGATCAATCAGTATGTACAGTTACGTGCTACATGACGATGTTTTAGTCAGTGATAGACCACATAATGATGGTGATCTCTTATGATTATAATGGAGCTGAAAAATTTCTGTCGCCCAGTGGTGATGTAGCTGTCATAACATCATTGTGGAACACGTTACCCATGTGTTTATGGTAATGCGACTGTAAACCTACTGCACTCCCAGTCAGGCATTTAAAAGGGCACATACGATTATGTGCAGTACATAATACTTGCTAATGGCAATGACTATGTTACTGGCTTATGTATTTGCTATACTTTTTATCATTATTTTACAGTGAACTCTTTCTACTCATTAAACGAAAAAGGTTAACTGTAAAACCCCCTCAGACAGTTCTTTCAGGAGGCATTATTAGTCATAGAGCACAGGTCCATACATGTTATTGTCCCTGAAGACTTTCCAGTGAGACAAGATACAGAGATAGAAGACGGTATTATTAATGATCCTGACCCTGTGTAGGCCTAGACTAATGCATGTGTTTGTGTCTTAGTTTTTAACAAAAAAGTTTAAGAAGTAAAAAAAAAAAAAATTGTAAATGGAGAAAAGCTTTATAGAATAAAGATTTAAAGAAAAATATTTTTGTATAGTCATACAATGTGGTTTTTTTTTTTTTGAGGGGGGGGTGTTTGTTTGAGACAGAGTCTCACTCTGTTGCCCAGGCTCGAGTGTCATGCCTAACTCACAGCAGCCTCAAACTCCTGTAGGGGCATAGCACTACAGGATTGTAGCCTAGGAGCGATAGGCTGTACCATAATGCCTAACAGTACATTTCTCAGAACGCATACCCTTGGTTAAGTGACACATGATTATATTTCTGAGGTGGAATATCTGTGTACAATAGGGTCTTTTCTTCCATGTGGCACTATCAGATTGATGTCAGAATCATCCCTTGGTCTGGTTGATAGCTCATGTAGTATGTCTGAAAATTAATGTTTACTTTAGGGCTTTATCACCCTTCCTTCAGGAGTATATGAGTTCCTGGAGTGCAAGGAGCTGTGTTAGCTAAAAATGATAGGGTAACTGCAAGCTCAGAAAATGGTATAGGTATTCCTTTTATGACTATCAGAAGCAAGGGGTAGCTTTCTTATCAGTCCACTTAGAATATTCCTTGTACTACATTTTGGGATAGTTTTAGTGGGCCCTCTGTAGAGAGCGGAGTGAAAGGACCTAGCAGTTCTTATCCTCAGGAACTTTTATGGAATTATCAAGAACCCTGGAAACAGCCATGAATGGAACCTTTTAAAAAGGAACTGTTTTATACTGTTAATTTAAATGAACTTTTTTTGTTTTTTTAAGGCAATGAATTTCCAAGGGAGGTTAAAGTATCTTCATGGACAGAAAAAGAAAGGGAAAGATGGATCAATACTTCCACCTCAGTTGGCTTTGTTTGCAATAGCTACTCCACTTCAGCCACCATCCATACTTGAAATCCGAACCAAAAATTTCATCTTTAGAACCAAACACAGACTAGACTTTACGCCCACTGGTTGTGATGCTAAGTAAGACTTTTTCACTTTTATTTCATCAAATGTGTATTTTGTTTTAGTAAGTCTCTCTTAGCATGTAAAACATGGTGCAGATTGTAGTATTGTTCATTATTAGCTACTGTTATTTCATATTCTTTCAGTACAGCCTTCTAAAGTGAAATAATTTTATCAGGCTCACAAATCATTTTGTTATTTTGTAGTTTTTTACAGTACTTGCCACAAAAAAAATGATATGCTTATAAGTAAAGCTCATCCTTCCGATGACATTTATTGTTGGTTGGTTTTACATTTTTAAATAGTACAAATATTATTTGATTTCTAACCCTAGGAGTTGAGTAACTTTCAGAAAATTACGAAGTGGAGTCTGGTATTAAGCATTTGTATCACATCAAAACATATCAATGTTTTTCTTCTTTCTAATGTGGGGATGCAGACAGAGGTAATTTGAAAAACCTGTTTCCCCTAAAACAGAATATAAGCATTTTAAATTTTCATCAGAGATTTTGTTTTACTGTAATCTCTCTATTAGATTTATTTTTAGCCATACTAATTTTCATGGTTTTATTCAGGAAAAGAAAATAGACTAAAACTGAAATTTGCAGCCATAAGCAAAAGAGGGCAGTTTACTTAGACATGTTTAATTTTCTTCCACCTACTGATGGTGACATTCTGAATGTCAAGCAAAACATACTGCAGAAAACAGCATATAGCCAATGAGTTGATCTCGGTTACTTCATTTATGTTAAATCTTAATTCACCTTTATTTTACTTTTTTTTTTAAACAGAGGAAGGATTGTTTTAGGATATACTGAAGAAGAGCTGTGCACAAGTGGCTCAGGGTATCAATTTGTTCATGCTGCTGATATGCTTTACTGTGCCGAGTCCCATCTCCGGAGTAAGTTGTAGTTCCTTATGAACATGTCAGAAGAAACGGCATGCAGTCTAGTACATGTTTCAAAGGATTACATAAGATAATGTGTTTAAGTAAACTATTTGGATGACCTCCTACTTCGTGTCATACCATTATGATTAACCAAAGTTACACTCTTTATTCATTAACCTCCCTACAGCTGCCACACAGGAATATAATCATTTACTAAAAACACGACTATTTTTGCTCAGGAAGTTTCTTCAGTGGCATCATTATTAATTAGTAAATCAATGTTAATACAGATGTAAACTTTAAAATTATAAAGTATTAGGCTTTAGGAATACCTTTCCTGTTTAAAACAAAACAATTTTTGTCTTTTTTCCCCCCAGTTTATACTCTTTTAACTTTCCTGTGTTACTAGAATCATATGAATGATACTTCATCTTCCCTTTAACATTTTTTTTTTATTTCGGCATATTATGGGGGTACAGATTTTAAGGTTTAAATAAATGCCCATTTCCCCCCCTCCCCCCACAAGTCTGAGTCTCCATCATGACCATCCCCCAGATGGTGCACATCTCACTCATTATGTATGTATATACCCGCCCCCCTCCCCCCTCCCACCTGCCCAATACCCTATTACTGTAGCACCTATGTGTCCACTTAGGTGCTATTCAGTTAATACCAATTTGCTGGCGAGTATATGTGGTGCTTGTTTTTCCATTCTTGGGAAACTTCACTTAATAGTATGGGTTCCAGCTCTAACCACGAAAATATAAGATGTGCTATGTCACCATTGTTTCTTAGAGCTGACTAGTACTCCATGGTATACATATACCACATTTTATTAATCCATTCTTGGATTAATGGACACTTGGGCTGTTTCCACAGCCTTGCAATTATGAATTGTGCTGCTATAAACATTCTAGTGCAGGTGTCTTTTTTGTAGAGTGTCATTGGATCTTTTGGGTAGATGCCCAGCAATGGGATTGCTGGATCAAATGGTAGAATCACTTGTATCGCTTTAAGATATCTCCATATTGCTTTCCACAGAGGTTGAGCTAGTTTGTCGTCCCACCAGCAGTGTAGGAGTGTTCCTCTCTCCGCAACCACGCCAGCATTTATTGTTTGGAGATTTTTTGATAAAGGCCATTCTCACTGGGGTTAAGTGATATCTCATTGTAGTTTTGATTTGAATTTCCCTGATGATTAGAGATGTTGAGCACTAAATTTAGTCTGAAATAGGAAAAAAACAACTCTGAAGAACTATTTTCATGCTTTTTAATGTACTATGTTTAAAAGTTGTCAAGATAGTCATTATCTTTGGTGATAGATGAAATAGATCCAGAAATATGTCAGAGGGGTTTGTTTCAGGGATTTTCTTTAATATATTATTTTGGGGTTTGATAATTTAATTTTTTTATTTTATTTCAGTGATTAAGACTGGAGAAAGTGGCATGATAGTGTTCAGGCTTCTGACGAAAAACAATCGATGGACATGGCTCCAGTCTAATGCACGTTTAGTTTATAAAAATGGAAGGCCAGATTATATCATTGCAACTCAGAGACCTCTAACGTAAGCACAAAGACTTGGAATGTTTCGTTTTTATTTTTTAACAACCGTTTCATTTATAAGTCCTCTTTTTTTTCTTAATTTTTTTTTATTTCAGCATATTATGGGGTTACAAATGTTTAGGTTACATGTATTGCCCTTGCCATAAGTCCTCTTACATGAAAACATAAAAATAATTCTAAGAGAATTGAATATGGAAATAAATATGTCTAGAAAGAAGAGGGCATAAGTAAGAGACATTGAGAAGTTAGAATTGACAAACTTTTATTGAGCAGCTAAATATGTGGAACTACAGAAAGAGAATAATCAAAGAAAACTCCACGGTTTTGTCCTGGGCATATGAAGGACAAATGAAAAGCTCTTGTCATCCATAAAATAAAAGAAAAATATAGCAATACTTTGTTTAAAATATGTTGTCTAAGCACACCAATGATTTGTAAGAGTTGCCTATGTATTTTGGAAACAAGTCCTTTGTCAAATATTTGCATTGCAAAAGTTTTCTCCCACTCTGGAGAATTGATTGTGGCTTGAGGTGTAAGGGTCAAGATTGATTTGTTTTTCCCCTTTTTTTTTTTTTTTTTTTTGCCTTTATATGTATATCCAGTTGACCAGTAACATTTATTGAAAACATCCTCTTTTCCCCTCTGCACTGCATTTTGATCAGGGGATTTTATCTGTGGTTCTGTCTCTGAACTCCCTTATATTAGCTCCATTGGTCTAGTTGTCAATTTTGTGCCAACATTGTATTGTCTTAGTTACTTTGTCTTTATTATAAGTTTTTATATCAGAGCGCATGTCTTCATTTTGTTAAGCTTTTTTTGTTGTTGTTCTTCAAGATTTCCTTGGCTCTTCTTTACCCTTTATACTTCCATGTACATTTTAGAACTCAGTTGTCAATTTCCACCAGAAAATCTGTTGGAATTTAGAATGAGATTATATTGAAACTGTAGATCATTTGGGCAGAATTAATGTCTTTATAATACTGAGTCTACCAACCCATGAACATGTATGTAAGTACCTATGTATACGAGTACATGGGTATGTATGTACCCCTACTAATTTATGCCTTCTGCCTTGATCAATATTGCTAGAAGGCCATCAGTTTTATCAGTCTGTACTAAAATCCGGTGTTCAGTTACTGATTTTTCCTATTGTACATTTATTTTCTTTTTTATTTATGTCTGCTCATTATTATTTTCTTCCTTCTATTTTCTTTGGGTATAATTTGCAGTTGTTTCCTACTTTCTCTTTTTAGCTAGATATTTAAACATACATATCAATTTCCCTTTTAAGTTTAACTACAACTCTCATGTTTTGGTATGTCTAATTTTTATCTTTCAGTTAAAAATATTTGCTAATTTTCACTTTTATTTAATTCATGAATTATTTAGAAATATAGTGTTATTGACTTTGTGATGTTGAGCAGCAGTACTCAACCTCTTTGGCACCAGGAACTGGATTCATGGAAGATAATTTTTCCGTGAGCAGGGGTGGTGATGTGAGGGATGGGGAGTGGCTGTACAGAGAGATGAAGTTTCGCTGGCTCACCTACCACTCACTTCCTGATGTATGCCCCAGTTCCTAACAGGCCATGGACCAGCACTGATCCAGGGGTTGGGGACCACAGCTGGGGATTTTTCTAGTTGTCATTTTTCAGATTGACTTTTGGCTTAATTCCATTGCAGTCAGAGAACATTCTTTGAATGGACTTCAGTTCTTTGAAAGAATTTCAGTGCTTTGAAATTTGTGGTGGCTTATTTTATGATCTGATATATGGTGAATGTTAGTAAAATAGTCCATGTACTCTTGTAAAGAATACATGTTCTGTTGTATGTTCTTTATCAGTGGTCTAGTTGGGTAATTGTGTTGTTCACATTTCTGTACATTTGCTGATATTACTATTTTGTGTGCTTGTTCTATTAGAAATTAAGAGAGGTTAGTTATTTTCACTTACTTATTACTAATAAGGCAGAGCATCTCTTTATATCTTTCTAGGACATTTTTCTTTTGTGAATTGCCAATTCATATCATTTGCCTATTTTTCTGTTGAATAGTTTACCTCTCTCTTAGATTCATTAGCGCTCTTTACCTATTATGGATATGAACTTTTATATGTATTAAATTATAAATATATGTTACAAGTATTTTCTCCATGATTAACTTGATTTATGAATTCTTTTTCAAAAATGCAAAAGTTTTAATTTTCATATTGCCAATTATGCCAATCTTTTTGTTTATACCTTCTGGATTTTATGCTTTATTAGACATATCTCTCTTACTGAGATTTCCTAAATTCGTACAGTTTTGTTTTCATATTTGGATCTTTATTCCACACATAATTTTTTTTTTGACAGGATGTCAGATAAGGATATAACCTGACTGTGGTTTAGAAAAATATCTAAATCATTTAAATACGTTTGTGTAAAAAACAATTCTGTGGTACCAGTCACAAGAATAATTTAGGTCAAAATAAAATAAACTCTATGTTTCCTACTGTCAAACTCAAAGTGTATTTTGCTTGTTGTTTTTCTTTTTTTGTATTATTTGATTTTGACATGTTTGTATGATAGTTTTTCCTAATACATGCTGACTTTCTTGTACACAATTTTAGAGAAGAAGAAGGAGCAGAGCATTTGCAAAAACGAAATACAAAGTTGCCTTTTATGTTCACCACTGGAGAAGCTGTGTTGTATGAGGTAACCACCCCTTTTCCTGGCATACTGGATCCCTTACCAGTAAGAACTAAAAACGGCACTAGTGGAAAAGACTGTACTACCAAGTCAACTCTCGACAAGGACTCCCTCAATCCTAGTTCTCTCCTGGCTGCCATGATGCAACAGGATGAGTCTATTTACCTCTATCCTGCTTCAACTACTTCAAGCACTGCACCTTTTGAAAGAAATTTTTTTAACCAACCTGTGAGTGAATGCAGTAATTGGCAAAACAATATCGCACCAATGGGAAATGTTAATATCCTGAAACATGAGCAAATCGATCAGCCTCAGGAAATGAATCCGGCATTCTCTGGTGGTCACACACAGCTCTTTCAAGATAAAAATAATGACTTGTACAGCATTATGAAAAACCTAGGCATTGATTTTGAGGATATCAAACACATGCAGAATGAAAAATTTTTCAGAAATGACTTTTCTGGTGAGGTTGACTTCAGAGACATTGACTTAACAGATGAAATCCTAACATATATCCAAGATTCTTTAAATAAGTCTACCATCATGTGTTCAGATTACCAACAGCAACAGTCCATGGCTCTTAACTCAAGCTGTATGGTACAGGAACACCTACAGTTAGAACAGCAGCAGCAGCAGCAACTACAGCATCACCAAAAGCAAGTAGTGGTGGAGCCGCAGCACCAACTGTGTCAGAAAATGAAGCATATGCAAGTTAATGGCATGTTTGCAAACTGGAACTCCAACCAATCTGTGCCTTTCAGTTGTCCTGAGCAAGACCTACAACAGTATAATGTCTTTTCAGACTTACATGGGACCAATGAGGAGTTTCCCTACAAATCGGAGATTGATTCTACTATACCTTATACACAGAACTTTATTTCCTATAATCAGTCTGTGTTACCACAACATTCCAAATGTACAGAGTTAGACTTTCCTATGGGGAGTTTTGAACCATCCCCATACCCCACTACTTCTTCTAATTTAGAAGATTTTGTCACTTGTTTACAAGTTCCTGAAAACCAGAAGCACGGAATAAATCCACAGTCAGCCATAGTAACTCCTCAGACATGTTATGCCGGGGCGGTGTCCATGTACCAGTGCCAGCCGGAACCTCAGCACACCCACGTGGATCAGATACAGTACAATCCAATCATTCCAGGCCAGCAGGCATTTTTAAACGAGGTAAAGCTTTTGTCAAACTGAATAAATCCTTTCGATGATTCTTCTTAACTTATAAATAAATAGACATGAATTACAAATTTTTCATCATTGATTCTAATTGATTATCTGTAGTGTTCGCTGAGATAGCATTTTTAATGATGTCTGTGATTACTTTTTTAAAATACGCCCATGCTTATTTTAGTATGTTATTAATGTAAGTATATCATTTACCTGAATGATGAAGGAAAAAGAAATCAAGGGCTAAAGCAATATGAATATGTCTTTAATGTAAAGTGACCCAAATTACCAGGCGAAATTAGTTAAAAGTGTTATATGTAAAATAGAGCATTTGATTTGCCTTTCTTGATTCTTTAAAATGTATATGGCTTTTTAAAAATTTTAACTATAAAACTATATATTTGAATTTTTAAGAATAATTTCTTCAAAGCTCAATTTTTATATATATGCTTAAAATTGGCTTGAAATCAAGCATAAAGATGCTTTCTTAAAATGCCTTTGTCCTGGATTATCCTTGGAATTCAGTCCTAGGCTCCTTTTTGTTCTCTGGCTATTCCTCCATGCTATACCCAATCCTCATGTTCTCCTTTAACGTAGAATTGCTTTTTTGTTCCTGACATTTTTTAAAAAGGGTAACTCAGCTGGCTTTCTGTCATTGGAATCAAGCTTGGTATTTTATATATATATATTTTTTTTGCCTAAATGTATCATCAGAACCCATCTAGCAGCAAGCACACTTTCACTAAATCTAAAAATTATTTTTTTTTTTTTTAAAGCTAACATAATGTTAATAGCTGCTCTGTCTGGCTACCTAGGAATATATCATGTTTTATGTTGCATTCATGCTTTTCCATTAGAAAATATTTAGTTCATTTTAAAGTATATTTTAGTTTTGAAGAATATCTCGACTACAATTAAGTTTATTGATGTCTACTTACTATGTATTAGAGTGTAGTAATTTAAAAATAATGACCTGAATCTTTATCTCTGATTGGTTTCTTATGGCTTTTTTCATACATTTGCTTTGTCTGATTATATATGTACTTTTCAATAGAACATGACAGTGAAGGTTTTTCTTATTCTCATTTCTTACATCTTTAATTATATTAAAATTTAATAATATTACAATCTATCTCACAACATTGCTGTGACATAAACATATTTTACTCCTGAGTAAAGCAAATTTTACAGAAGTTAATTATGTAAGATTATATTTTGAATAGGGGGTCACATCAGTACCTCATGAGTTCTTTTAAGTGTTCTCCCCCTACTTTGTATTGCTTCTTTGTGAATAATCAGATAATAATTCTTTGGACCTACATATTTCCCTAGGGTAGCCACTAGTTACATGTGGCTGTTGAACACTTGAACTGCAGCGAGTCTGAATGGAAAAGTGTTGTAAGTGTGAAATGCACACCAGATTTTGAAGGCTTAGCTTGAAAAAAGAATGTAAAATATCTCAGCCCTGCATGGTGACTCATGCCTGTAATCCTAGCATTCTGGGAGGCTGAGGCAGGAGGATCGCTTGAGGTCAGGAGTTCAAGACCAGCCTCACCAAGAGCGAGATCCCAGCTCTACTAAAAATAGAAAAAATTAACCGGGTGTCGTGGCGCACGCCTGTAGTCTCAGCTACTTGGGAGGCTTAGGCAGAAGGATCGCTTGAGCCCAGGTGTGAGGTTGCTGTGAGCTAAGCTGGTGCCACAGCATTCTAGCCTGGGCAACAGAGCGAGACTCTGTCTCAAAAATAAATAAATAAATAAATAAATAATATCTCTTTTTTATTGATTTCATGTTGAAATGATACATTTTTGGCTACAAGGTTAAATAAAGTATATTATTAAAATTAATTTTACCTGTTTCTTTTTACTTTTTTTAATGTGGCTACTGGAAAAATTAAAGTTCTGTATGTGGCTCACTTTATATTTCTATTGGATGACACTGCTCTATGCAGTATATTTAAAGAGAATGGTTGGCATGCATTGTGTTATGAGTTATGAGAAAAATTCATTTAAAACCCACCATTATCTGGACAACTATTACTGACCATTTGAAGACTTGACAAAGTTGCCATTCATTGAAGATGTAGATTATGCAATTTTTACTGTATATCTATGGTATGTTTTAGAGGATTTTCAAAGTCATCAACATTTTCATTACTACAGCCTAATGTCACATAGGCTTTGGAAAAGTAGCTTTTATTTGAAGCAAGCAAGGATATGATTTTAATCTGTTTGAAAGTTTCCACAACTTCTACTGACTATATTATAAAATAAAAAGATTCTATAATCTATAAAACTCTACAGAACTATGCATCTTCATGTCTTTCCTTGTTTCTTTTTAATTTTTTTTCTGGTAGTAGTTGTAGAAATTAGACTAATTTCAGTGTAAGAAGGCAAGAAAGAGCACTTTCTTTTGGTAACTTGATTCTGGAATTAGGTCAATGCTTTCAGTAGTATTCATTAATTTAAAGTATAAATAAGAATAGGTTAAGGAAATCATACCCATTGTGTAATATTTGGGGAGTATCAGGAAACCTTTAGAAAATTAGAATTGGCATTTATGGAAAAGTCCTAGGTTTTTTGCAGTCCAGTGTAGTAATCTTGAATATAATCAATTCATTGATACCTAGAACTTGACTGAGATGAAGTCTGATCAAAGCAAACCTACTTGTGCCAAACAATATTTAACTGTGATTTGTAACTGGTGCTTTCTGACCCATCAATTTCCAACTGACGTGAAGGCAATCTGAAATGAGACAGTTGTGTTACTCATCAGTACCATCTTCAAAATTTTTGTCAAATTAGTGGAAAAACCAAACAGTTATAAAGGCAACTAATACATAATATGTACTCAATATGTCTTTACTGAATGAAAGATTCAAGATTTAGCAGCAGTAAAGAAACTTGAAGTTTACCAACATGCAGGACTGATTATAAGAGTACATATTAATATGTCATTTAATGGCTTAAGATATTTGAAAGGTCTATCCTAATAAATTATATTGCTATTTTTGTTTTCAGTTTCAGAATGGAGGAGTTGTAAATGAAACATATCCAGCTGAATTAAATCTCATAAATAACAGTCAGACTACCCCGCATCTTCAGCCACTTCATCATTCATCAGAAGCCAGACCTTTTCCTGATTTGGCATCCAGTGGATTCTTGTAATTCCAAGGCAATTTTGACCTTGGTTTTTGGATTAAATTAGTTTGTAATGGATTATGGAGTAATATTAATAAAATTGTTAATGTTGGACATCAGCAAGTTCACATGGAGGCATTGATGCATGTTGTTCATACTTAGTTTCAAGCTAAATTTTAATATTTGTTTTTAGAAAAGGAATTTAATATCAAAATGATATATACTGTAGTCATTAAAGTAGAAAGTGTGCTGCCACGGAGTAGTGAGATATCTACATTTCACATTATTCTGAGTACCAAAAAATATGCAAAATTTATTGAGAAGAACTTTGACTTTTAAACTACAAAACTTTCTCTATTTGAATTATTTCTGTCAGAATAAAAATGAAAACTTTGAGTTTTGAACTTCTGGATTCTTAATAGTTCATAGAATACAAAGTCACAAAACTATTTTCTTATTTTAGCCTCTGCTCTTATCTCAGATGTTAAATGGTTTGGTGCTTTTTATAAAAAAAAAATCTCAGTGCTTTCCTCCTTCACTGTTAATCTAAGTGCCTCACATTTTTTTCTACCTATAACACTGTAGGATGTATATTTTATATAAAATATTTTTTCTTTTTTAAACTGATAACATTCTTTTGCACACAAATATTATTTGTATTTCCTAAATCCAGTCATTTTTATTAATTCAGGCATGTTTTAACACTCACCTTTCTTCAGGTAAAGGGCAAATAATGAGTGAAAAGATAATTATTTATTATATAATCTAATTGCTTCTAGACTTCAAATGTTGGTATGTGCCTTATGTTGAAAAATTTAAAAGTAAAATTTCTTTCCAAATTCTTAATTATAAAATAAATATTAAGACAGTAGCACTTAAATTTCAACAGTGTTTTCAGAAGAGATATACCACTGTTTATTGAAATCTCCATGATGATGGTTGCATGTTGCAATGTGAAAAATCTGAAACATGTTTATTAAATTGCAATGAAGAGAAGCAGTTTTATTTCTAGCTTTTTAATTAAGCAAAGCACCCATTTCAATGTGTATAAATCATCTTTAAAAACTGTTTTAGATCTATAATCCTTTAGGATATATTATGTTGACTTTATAAATTTCACTTCGTAGTACAGTGGAAATTTTGTTTTTCTCATATTTGAGGAGTGTTAAGATTGAAGATAACGATGTTTGGTGCAAAGTATTGTAATGAGTGAAATTAATGGTGCATCGTATAGATATAAAGAACAAAATTATTTGTAAAATACTTTCAATTTTTCATTTTAAAATAGTCCGTACCTTGTATATGCACTTACATAATTGTTTGGGTTTTGCATATTTTATCAGTGTCTTTCTAAGAAATGAAACAATCAGACTGTTTATAAGTTGGTATTAAGAAAAAGACAACCACACTATTCATTTACCTTCAGATATTAGGTTGTCTTTATGATATAGTGACCTTTATTACCAATAAGGCAAATTATCACCCTACTAATTTTATAGTTCTGAAATGATTTAAAAGTAAAAATACCATCATCTGCCATTCTCTTATTTAAATATGATATCCGAAGGGCAGAGATGCATTTTGCATATATTATTTAAAAATCTGATGGAATCCCAAACTGAGATGTAGTATTAAAATACATTTTTCATTTCTTTCTTTTTTAGTAAATTAATGTATATAAAAGTGGCTTCAAATGAAATCTCTGTCAGTTCTGTGTACGTTCAGTCAAAACTTTGAATCTGTAGAATCAGTTTAAGTGTTGAAAAAAAAAATTGTCTAAAACATTTCATAATTTGTTTCCAGCATGAGATATCACTAAGGATTTAGACCAGTGGTCTAGATTAATTGTCTATTTTTACATTTAAACTCTCATTAAAAGTCTTCATATAAACCATTTTTGTTAGTCTCTTCCACATGTTATTGGGTAAATTGTTTAGTGGAAAAATAGGCTTTTTAAATTGTGAATATAATGACAATCAACTATACACTTATAAAATTAAGTTTTTAAAGCAATATTGTATATTTTTATCTATATAAAGTAACTAAAATATATCTAAGAATAATAAAATCACATTAAACCAAATACACCTTTGTCTGTATTGCAAAGTGCCAAACTAAGGAAGAATGCGTAGTGTACTGCAGTGTTGAGGGATTTATTTTTAGATGATGTGCACATCTAAGGACGTGGCCATGTCTAATTTGGTCTTTTCCTATACCAGGTTGTTCTTCCAGTACCTGAAGGTTTACCAGTATTCCAACATACTATGAAGCTTTCAGTCATTACTATGTACAAACTCTAGTGTTTTTCAGTATTACAAAATTTAGGTAAATGTTTTCTTATGGCACTTCTCTTTCCTTCAAAATGTTACTGCTTACATATGCCATGCATAAATTCTTGTTTAAAATATGATTCATAATATCCTTATTACCAAACGAAATTGTATACAATAATATATGGTAATAAAATAATCACCAAGTATGACTAATACGTTTTAATGTTAATTCTTTCTGTTCCATGTAAGGGAAATAAACACTTAAGAGTATAGTATTATAACTATGTTAGATGAAGGGAATCTATAATATTTAAGGATGTGTTAAGTCAATAATTCATCAACTTATAAAATTCTGCCCCTCCATTTTGGCATTTATCTAAATATAAAAAACATATGTTCAGTAACTTCATAAATTAAGATCCTTCTGAAATGAACTATTTATTAAGTCCTGTTACTAGTGGTGTAAATGTAATAGTGTCAGTCTCTCAGATTAAAATGCAAAACCTCATTTTAATATTTTAGGAATATGAAGAAATTTGAAATAACTCTGTTAGCTATATTTTGTGCTTATATTAGAAAAGTTATTGCCCAATCCTAGTCTTTCTCTTTACTAAATGTAAATGACACAGCAGCCTTTCTCCTTAAATTCGTAACTGTTGAACATTCACCAAAAATTCTGCAATTAGAATTGATAGAAGAAAAATTCCCCAAACAGTTTTCATTCTCAATACTTATTTTTACATTAGTTTTATATTTATCCTTTACAGTTGTTAGATATTTTTCTCAACAACCAGATCACAAGTTAGCATCATAATTCATTCTGAACATTTTAGAAAGACTAACACTGAGTCTTTTGTCTGAGAATTAACACGATATTTAGTTTTAACTATTTGAAACAATCAAGTAAAAACCCAGATAATCCATTTCTGATCTCTGCTTGCAGTCAGGTGACTTCTGTCATGATGAATGAGTTCAGCTTGCCCCCACTTCACCAAGCCTGCCGAGCACCCAGGGGTGTTGACCACGCAGGAACTAGGCAATACCTTTCTAATTCCTCTCACTGTTTACAGATTACCTTGCTTCCAGTTTTACTAATAAAATGGAGAGTATCATCCTAAGTTTGTGTCTTCACCTCAGCAATATCACCATCCATGGTCTCTTAGACTTACCTCCAGTATGTGAGGAGGAGAGGTACCCCAACTGCAAGGTTAACACACTTACTTCCTCACTCTCATGCGCATAGTTTCTACACTTACTTTCTCAGAGGCTCTCCTCTACAGGCTTGCGTGTGTACAAGTCTCCCTCCATCCTGGAAAAAAAAATTAATCTTTGTCCGTTTTCTTTATTAAATTACTTCTTTACATCCTTTCTCTGAAACAGTTTAGATCTGAAATCTGGTTTTGTTCTCCACCCTTCTGTTATACTGCATTGTGTCGGTTCACTTAACTCTCTTTTTTTTGTTGTTACCATAGGCTGATTTTCTGTGGCCCTCCAATTGAATTGATTACTCCTTCAATTGTATCAATGACACTCATCTTTCATGACATTAGTTTTCTACAACTTCTTAGCATTTCCCCTCTTTCTTTTGCTAGCCAGTCTTCCCTCCGCCCACCTGGCAATAGGCTTAGTTCTGACCATTTTTGCCGTTCCCTACATACTGCCCAAGAAGTGATTTGATGCCTTACTTCTGAGTGACTGTGAAGCATTCTTTCCCTGCGGGAGCAGCATGGCAGAGCTAACCACATCGACTCTGGAGTCAAGACTGCTAGGTGTAATTCTGCAGTCACCACAAATAAGATAGAAGCCATTGGGAAGGCTCCTTACTCTCGCTCAGCCTGAATTTACTTTTCTATGAAATAAGAATAATAGTTAATTCACTTTTCTATAAAATAAGCATAATAGTTAATTCCAGCATTACTGGCTGACTGGAGGATTTCATAAGTTAATGTGCAAACAGCTCCCAATGGCCAAGACGAGTAATTTGAACAACTAAAATAATTGCATTAGAGATTATAACCCAAAGAATAAATATGCATGAATCTATCCTGATATAAATAAATGGTTGAATAAATACGTGGGGAAGAAGGGGCAAATCTTTCTTACAGAAGAATCGCAAATAGTTTTGGTAGCTACTGTGCCTTCCAATACGTGGACTTAGTTTCACTCCTCTGGAAGTCTGAGCAGCTGGATGACTTGCTTCCAAAGATTAAAGTACAGAAAGGTGAAAAATAATAACTTTACATTGTTGACATCTGGCAAACACTAACCAAGCCATCAAGGTTAACATCACCAATGATAAGTCATGTTGATAACATGTATTCCCAGATAGGATACTTTGAGAAGTGTTCTTCAGCTCTCTGATATTCTTAAAAGCACAAAACTCCAATCTAATCATGAGAAACCAGCAGACAAACCCAAATTTGGGTACATTCCACAAAGTTCCTGAGAGTATTCATTTGAGTGTCACAACCATGGAAAAGAATTAGAGACCGAGAAATTGTCACAGAGCAGAGGAGACTAAAAAGGCATGATGACTGTAATGTACCCTGGATTGCACCCTGCAATAGAAAAAGGGCACTAGTGAAAACTGCAAAGATCAACGTCTAGTTTAGTTAATACCACTGCACCACCATTAATTTCCTAGTTTCTACCAATGCATCATGGTTGTGTAAGACATTAACATTAATAAAGAAATCTGGATAAAGGGACCCTCTTTATGTTCTTTCTACTTTCCTGTAGATCTTAAGTTATTCCACAATAGTTTAAAAATCATTCTTATATAAAAAACAATTTTTAATGCCTCAATAAATGTCATTACTATTTTCCTACGATATGTAAACACCATCTTCTCAGTTGTGGGTAAAGCTATACATTGACACCAATCCTCATTCTTTTGACTCCCTATTGGATGAATATCTGGGTTTTTCATCTTGCAAAGTGTTCCTTTACCCTTTGATCTCCTGACATCGTCCTTACCAATGGCCCTTCCAGCCTTGTTCTCATAGCTCCTGCATATCAGCTACAATAGACCTATTTTTCTAATAATATTTCAGCTAAGTACAGCCACATCCCAGACTGAGCATGTGTAGCTGCCTTACCTCTCTTAACTAGATATGTCCTTATTTCTAATCCTCGCTTCCCCAACTAGCTCTTCACCCACCTTGTGGTCTCCAGACCCTTGAGTGGACGATATTCTTTTTCAGTCCATCAACTTGGACCTCAGTATCAGGATTTCAGCAATATTTTCACTGACCTCCTGGCTTTGCTCACTTCCTTATTGGTAAGTGCTGTTCCAGTCCACAGCCCTGGCCCAAACACCTTGTTTTCCTGATAGGTGTTCTTACTCGAGGGTCACAAAACTGAAATAACTGGCCTCACTGTAAACTTACCATGTCTATAGCAGACCCTGACAATTGCCTACACCAGTCTCATTTTCTGAACTCAGACTTTTTACTGGTTACATTGAGGGGGAAAAAGGACTACATTTTCCAGCCCCCTTTGTGGCTAGGGGTGTATAACATGAGTAAGTTTTGCAACTGTGTGCCTAACTGCCATGCTAGCTAAGAAAAATGAAGAAACAGAATTTGATCAACTAAAAGGGCCCAATAAAAATAAATAGCACCCACTCTTTTTCACTTGAATTTTGAAGCTATCGAAAAGTATATATACAAAAGTATAAGCAGATAGAGAAGGGTGGGGAAGTCCTCATTATTAGAAACCTTAACCTAGCATGAGGGCCAAAGGAAGACTGCCCACCCCATTCTCCGGTCACCAGTCTAGAGCTTAGGACAGACTTCTGGGACATTCAGGGTAGAGTCAACCTACTTCACATACAGCGTCCTACAATTCCAGATAGACACAAGGGAGAAAGAGACCAAATCCCTCATGTCCAGGACCATTGATAGATTTGCTTCGCATATTTGAGGAATGTGGACAAGGGCTGCCACCCACCTTGTCCTTCTACCAGGGGGAGAATTAAATGGTCAGGCACAAGGCTGGGAGCATTCATCCTTCCTCATGGAAACCTGAGGAATAGGAAAAGGATTTTTCTGTCCAAACCATCGCTAACATCATCATTGATATTGTTTTTATAAAGCAAATTCATAAAGTTTTGCCAATTTGATTTAAAAAAAAACTTTTGTTAAGGGCCCTTTCCATTATCCATTATTTTGTTCAATGGCTTCTATATAGGATCTATGTGATGCAGAAGTAAGTCATAGTTAAGACATAGAAAAATAAGCATCTTTTCTGCCAAAATGCTGTATGATTTATTTCATTTACCTCTTGATTACGCTTCCAGGAAGCACAGAATTCAGTTTTGTACTTAGATGCAACAGCTTCCCTTCACCTTTATTTCAAGCAAGAGTATCTGTGCTTCTGGATTGCTATCCCCACTTCATTTGTTACTTCCCTCTTGGTATCACCAGCTTTCTTTAAGTTTTAATGTAAGCTGCCACAAAGTTCTTTCACAGTAGGCTATAAATTATCCATATACAGATGCAGGCAGTAAATGCAGTGATGTAGAGAAAAGAGCAGAAGAGAAATGCTAACCGTGAGTGCCTTTAGATAAAATGTTGGCCAATAAAACTTTGCAGCCTTTATAGAATTTGGACTGGCTCAGTGTAGAACTAATGACTAAATAAAGGGGTGATGACTATGAAGAATGGATTCAATCCTGTCTGTCTTTCCAGAGGCTGTGACATTTTCTCCTTGCTCATTCTCTTGGACATTGCTAATTTTAGATTATTTGCAATGTCTATGAAATTCTTTGCTTTTGGTCTCTTTAATATTCCAAATCATAATTGTCTTCAGTC